GTGGATGAGCTGAGTGATAATCAAGGAATCTTCCAGAATGTGTAGTTTTTCTATATAGCGTCGTTTTTATGCTCCCATCTGTTACTCTTTGTACTTTACAGTCTAACATAGGTAGTTCCCCAATTTCATTCTCTATTTCCATATTGTGAATTTCATTGAGTCTACCTGACTCTGCTTATATGTGTGAGAAGAATTTCTCAACATCGTTTTGTTTTCTCCTTATTACTAACGTGTCGTCTACATATCTCCCCCAACATTTTATTGACGACATGAATGGTTTAAGTGCATTTTCTTCCTAAAAATCCATGAATATGTCAGCTATTATTCGTGAGATGGGCGATCCCATGGCTACTCCTCCTTCATTGCGTCGGCATATTTTTCCTTCAAAATGTAAAATATGTTATTGTGAGACAGAATTCCACCCCCTTTTAATATCTCTTCTACGGATAACTGTGTTCTGTCTTTTAGACCATTATCTTCTTTTAGTCTCGTTTCCAGTGCATTCATGGCCATTTGAATGGGTATTTTAGTATGGAGACTGTTTACATTAAAGCTGACTAGTATTTTACTCTTCCTCTATTTTAATGGTTTTCACTCGTCTCTTTGTTCTACGTTACCACTTTCCATATCTACAGCATATACGTTGCGTTATACCGATTGCACGCACGTGTGCGTGTGTGTGTGGCGTTGTATCGATAAACAAAGATTCAGTGGTCAATCTCCCAGTCTCCATCTAACTATACTACTTTTTAGTACACTCACCCTGTCCCACCCACCTCATATTTTGTGATTACATGCAAGTGAATGCAATGCAGTGCAGTGGAATGGCTGACCTCTGTTTTTTTCGAGGTTACTTAACTTATCAGGGTCAATCATTCTAGGTCTAGCTGGCTGCATTTTTATGTTCAAATAATCTAGTTGACGCCAATCTACACCTAGTTTGACTGAACTATGTAATCGTCTTGACAGTCAACATTACATGGTATTTTTGTAAATTATATTATTTTTCTTAATTGGATTAGTGTCGGTGGCATAGCGGTAGGACGCTCTCGGACCATGCACATAGTCCGGGGTTCGATCCCCGGCCGACGCACTCCTTTACCTCGCTAAGCCAGAAATAATGCTGGTAAAGAGGAAAGGTTGGGCATGAAGCTAGCAACTCCATCCTGTAAAAATTAAACACTGCTACAGAAACTTCAAGCCACTAGCTTGAGGCCCTATGTTCCACTGGGAACGTGAAGGAAAAAAATTCTTAATTGGATCTATTGGGCGAGTCCTTAAGCTGACAAAGTTTATTTCTCAGTGAGTGAGTTAGTTAGTTAGTTGGTTCCAGCTTCATTGAGTCTCCTATGCAGAGGCGTTTGACGTTCGTTCCTTCTTTATACGGAAGTACTATAGAGGCTGTGAATTCTATATTACTTTCGGTATTTTCGTCAGTTTCATTATTAATCTTATTTCTGCTCCGGTTGTTCATACATTCTTCTAAAGTGTAACACAGTTCTCGTAAATCCATTTATTAATAAAAGTGATAGAACATGTTGACCACTTCACCTATTTGGGAAGTTGTATCAGCACCAACGGATTGATTGGTGACGAAATCTCATGACGGATACAAAAATCTCGAGCTGCTTTCGCTAACTTACACCATCTCTGGCGTAGGCGTGACATCCGGCTATCAACCAAGGGACGTGTGTACTGCTCAGCACTTCGCTCCGTCCTTCTCTATGGCTCTGAAACATGGCCAATACGAGTTGAAGACATGAAAAGGTTGACTGTTTTCGACCACAGATGTTTACGATCTCTTTCTCGCGTTAGGTGGTATAATAAAGTAAGTAATGTTGACGTTAGGCGTAGAGTGTTGGGCAAAGAGGGAAAATCAATCGAAGAGGCTATAAAGTTACATAGATTGAGATGGCTAGGTCACGTGCTGCGCATGCCTAACCATCTTCTCCCCCGATGGGCATTACTAGCTGATATAGGTGCAGGTTGGAAAAGAGTAGGTGGTGGCCAAACAAAAACATGGCATCGATCCATGAAATCCTTGACAGTTAAACTGAGTCAGTTAGGGAGATGCAGAATTCCGGGTTGGCGCCCTCGGGACTCTGAGAATCAATGGCTGGAGACAATAGGTGACATGGCTCAAAATCGTTGTCAGTGGGGCAGATGTATTCAGTCTCTGTAATCTTTCATATTCCTTTCTACCATTATTCACTCTGTTTCACTCTTATACTTGTCAAACCTCTATTGATTCTCTTCTCTCATATATCTTCTTGTCTACCTATGTGTGCTATTTGGAACATGGCAGCTCGGACTGCTGCACTTCGGTTCCAAGTTCTATGTTGAATCCAGCCAGCCAACACACACACACACACCATGAAGAATCATAAGGATTCGCTGAATATGGATTATTAGAAAGAGAATAAGGTCAATCTAGTGCCAACTGAGAAGGATTTTGACTATGTAAACCAGGATGTCAACGTTCTCCAGCCACTACTAGTACTTAACTTCTCAAGGGTACGTGTCAGACTGTATGCACGCACCACCATCTCTCTCCTCACTACTACTCTAAACAGTCCACAAACCATATCATCATCACATCACTGTCGGAATAAACAACTTATATGTGGATTAAAGACATAATTGATAGATTTAGAGTTTTGAATTGATAATTCAAATAATAAACCGTCTATAAAATTTTTTAAAAAAACAAAACAAACAAACTGTAAATTCTTTCTGTAGTAAATTCACACATCCCAGAATAATAGAGCATAGTTTGTGCTATGAGCGGAACTAGCAGAACTAGTAGACATACTATGAGTGAATACTAACTTAACGCGCTGACTAATCTGTCCTAATCGCACGTCAACGACAACAATAACAACAATGACACCGCCGGCATGCAAAGATAAAAGAAAAGACTAGACGTCGATAAGAGAGCTTTTACTGTCTCAAACAACAGTCAAAATGCTAGACAGAAAATCTCTCTCTCTATATATATATATATATAGTCAGAGTGACCTTGAAAATGCAGTCATCCAGTGATGCATTAAAAGTGTTAACAGACAACAATGAGAATCCAGTAATCCAAACCGAGAGGAGAACAAAGGACTCACGCCAATGCGCAATAACTCCCTAAAATAGTTATTTTAAGGTTTTAGGTGTAATTAGACAAAACTAGGTTTGTATAACAGTTTTGTATCGCTTTTCATTAGGAAGAAGAAAAAGATAACTGCTCATTATTATATGAAGTAATTCAAAGAAGAAATTTCTTTACCTTCAAGAATGTCTACGTTTATTTCTGACGCATAATTCAAGATTAAGGATTCTACCCAACTGGTTACCCAACTGAAACAAGGCAGGTTGGATATTCTTGAAAAAAGTGAAAGCAAACACCTGTCGCTTACAACGGGACTGGTAATGAACAGACTGGTCTTACTCAATAGATTTGGAACACTTTGATTCTACATCTCCAGAATCTGAACGGATCGAATAGTGGCGCATGAACTTGTTTTACTCATAGGAAACCATGGGAACATAGCTGCTGACACTGATCAACAGGCTACTGGGATGGGGTAGGTAGTAGTCCCCCCCCCCACTTAAAACAACCATTCACTTCGATGTGGGCAACCAACCTAGTAGTAATATCCCAGACCTTAGAAAAACTATGAGATTTTGTATGACAGCTTTCTCAGCGCTCACAGTGTGCTAAGTCTGTGTTTTAATTCTATTATAAAATAAATTCTTACTATTTTGATTGGCGTTTCATCGAAGAAAGCATGGAATGGCAATCAAATCTATACCTCAACTTTATAGACTTTGAGAAGGCCTTCGACAGCGTTAACCGCAAAGTAATTTGGAAACTACTCAAGTACTACGACGTACGCCAAATATTCATCAACCTCATTCAACAGCTGTACGACAACGACACATGTCAAGTGATCCACAACGGAAAACTCAGTGAGGCTTTTGGAGTGAACACAAGAGTCAGTCAAGGGTGCTTATTATCACCAATGATATTCCTAATTGTGGTGGACTGGATTATGCGTCAGACAGTGGGAAACGAGAAGACAGGGATATCCTGGACCGACATGAAGAACCTAGAAGACCTGGATTTTGCAGATGATTTGTGTTTGATTTCACACAAAATCGAAGACTTACAAGCGAAAACCGACAAACTGGTCGAAGAAGCAGCCGGTGAAGACAGGACTCCAGGTGAACATAGACAAGACGGAGGTTATGAAAATAACCAACCAACAACAACAACAGAAGCAACATCCAGCGCCAGTCACCATCAACGGGAGGGATTTCAAAGAGGTTACTTCATCCACCTATCTAGAGAGCATTGTCTCAACTACAGGAGGAACGGACGGATGAGGATATCAAATCGAGAATCGGGAAGGCGAGAAACACATTCGTCAACCTGAAACCAATCTGGAAATCTTCGTCACTCAACTCAGCATCAACAACAAAATTCGGATTTTCAATACAAACGTCAAGTCAGTCAGTTCTTCTATACGTACGGATCAGAAACTTGGCCGGTGTGTCACAAAGAATATTTCCAACAGCCTGTTGTAGACCTTTATCAACAAATGTCTTCGTTCTATACTGAAGATCAGATGGCCGCCGGAAAGAATCATCAACAAGAAACTATGGGATCAAACAAAACAAGAACCAATCGCTCAACAAATATGCAGGAGAAAGTGGACATGGATTGGACACTCTCTGAAGAGGCCGCTGGGTGACATTGCGCGTCAGGCCAGTGCTCGAGTGGAATCCGAAAGGGAAGTGGTGAGTGGGACATCGAAGGGTGACATGGAGGAGATCGTGTGAAGAAGAGTTGAAACAGTATGGAATAACATGGACGCATGTGAAAAGTACAGCAGAAGACAGAAGCAAGTGGAGAAGTGTAGTTGAAGCCCTATGTTCCACTAGGAACCCAAGAGAACAACAACAATTTTGAAATAAAGCACACACACAGAAAGAAGAATAAGTGGACTTACCGTCAGCTCCATTAGGCGCACACTATAGTAAGAAGGATATTATGACATCCACGAGGACAACAACCAGAGGTACGATGGAAAGCAGGCATTTTCATCATCACCATGATCATCATCATCATTCCAGAGAGGAAGGTAAATCAAAAAATTAAAAATAAACAAATTAATGATACAATAAACACATGGAATGTATCAATAAGATCAGACAGAATTCACTTTGTGTGTGTGAAGTATACAAGCTGAGAACCACTACCACCGAAAACCAGGGAGTAGTGAAAACAGCTGTCTCGTCCTTCTACTTTGGGACGCTTCAGTAGTACACACCCACTGGAGTTCAAACGCAGGCGCTTCAGGTTACAAAGCGACCTCGTTGACCACACAGTCATTGAGACCCAATCTAATTCAATCCAATGTTTCATGAATTCCAAAATTCTGTTAATTTTGGGATACACCCGCCATAGGCGAGTACACCGTTCTCTTACTTGACTTGGTCGACTCTAATGGTTATGACAAAACTTTTTGTTTAGTTAGGTGGCGTCGGGGTGGAGGTGTATGTGTGGGTGTAAATGGTATGGTTTGGTGGTATAAATCAAGATGGATTACCATGATGATCTAGATATGCTTCATACTTCTTACTTCAAGAAGCCTTCGTAACGACCTTGATCAGTGGTGGGCGACGAAAGCGAAAGAGATGGAAAAAGGCTTAGGCGATTAGTAACACCAGACAACTATCTGGACTCACCAGGGAAAGATAAGTGATTGGTACCATAATCAGCTCCTAGGACAGACGACTGCAACGCTGGAAAGAACACTATGGGGAGCAGTGTACTTGGCCTACAGCCACACTCAACTTACCAAACATCCAACACCTCCCTGAATGGGATTTGGACACAGGTCCTCCATCCTTAACTGAGGTTACTAAAGCTGTCACTAATCTGAAGCAAGGCAAAGCAGCGGGACCTGATGGAATGACTCCAGAGGTATTTAAGTACGGTGGAGACATTTTACTGTCTGCATTAACTGAGGTTCTAGGCAGCGTCTGGGAATCAGAGGAAGTCCCATCGGGTTGGTGTAAGTCACTGATCATCCCGATATACAAGGAGGGAGGCAAGTCTTCCTGTGATAATCACAGAGGGATTAGCTTGACTTAATATAGTATCTAAAATCCTAGGCTCAATAATCATGCGTAGACTAAGTGGTGCTCGAGAGGCACAAACAAGAGAAAACCAGGCAGGTTTTAGGCCAGGAAGAGGGTGTATTGATCATATCTTCACCCTCCGACAGATTCTAGAACATAGGCATTCCTACCGGCGTCCGACAATCATTATATTTCTTGACTTAAAGGCGGCATTCGATTCTGTCAACCGAGAGGTTCTCTGGCGATGCTTGGTTGTGAAGAGTAGGAAGATGGAGAAAATACATTCCACTGATTAAGGCACTCTACTCGTACTCATGCAGCCAGGTGAGGGCTTATGGCGAGTTGTCATCTGGAGTGGTGACAACTAGTGGTGTCCGACAGTGAGGGATGCCCAATATCCCCATTTCTATTCAACTTCATCATAGATGTACTAATGGACGTAACCCTAACTCACTTCAGTGACTAAGGGATTGACTTGCTACCAGGGAATAATCTCGTTGACTTAGAATATACAGACGATATAGTCCCTCTAGGCGAGGACGCTGACGAAATAAAGCAGTCTTCTGAACACCTTGAATTGCAATCTACGAATGCTTGGCATGCGATTCGCTCCCGGGAAAAGTAAGAGGATGCTACAGGACTACTAGATTACATTGACTCACTCCTAGATTAAAGATAAGCAGGAGTTAAGAGGTTAGTGGGGTGTGTTGACTACTTCACTTATTTGGGAAGTTACATCAGCCAGCACCGCAACGGGTTAATCGCTGATACAGATGCCTCGTTTCGCATATGACAGTTTATGCTGTCTCTGGAGTAGACGTGATATCCGGCTGGCTGTTGACCAAAGGGCGTGTGTTCTACTCAGCAGTCCACTCCATCTTCCTTCAAGGCTGGATGTGAGACATAGCGGCCATTGTAAGTGGAAGACATAAAAAGACTGGCTAGCTAGATGTCTTTGATCATAGGTGTCTGCGTTCTATCTCCGGTGTTAGGGGGTGGTATAAATGAATTGAGTAATATTGAGTTGGTCAGGCATCAGTCGAGTGCTAGGTAAGGAAGGGAAATCAATACACGAGGCTGTGAAGCTACATCGACTGAGATGGTTAGGACATGTGTTACGTATGCCTAGCCACCGCCTTCCTCGACGGGCAATGTAAGCTGACATAGGGTCAGGCTGGAAAAGAGCAAGCACATGTTGGTCAAACCAAAACATGGCTTCATCAGTCAATGAAATCCACAACAGTTAGTTAAAACCAGTCACGTGTGGGAGATGCAGATATCCTGACTGGTTGGGCTCCTCGAGACGGCAAGCACCAATGACTGCTGGAGACAATTATAGGTGATATGGCTCAAAATAGTTCTCAATGGCTGGTGCAGATGCATCCACTCCTTGTGACTCATAATTTCCAATGAAACTATATTCTTCTTCGATGTTACTATTCTTTTTGCCTCATATCTCTCTTTACCGTCTCTGTTTTGCATGTCTTTTTACTTTCTTCTCTTGCTTTGTGTGCTACAAAAAGGGAGTGTGGCGGCTCAAACTGCTGCACATCGGTGTAAAGTTCCACGTTGAAAACAAACAGACACGCTTCTCACTCAATATTTAGTACTGTTCTCTTATTTGTTGTTACAAGAAAATATTAGAGATATTTTTGGCATCATCCCTAAAAGCATACGTTTACTTGACAACTGAACTGACGATGGCAGAATGAAAGAATAGGGATCCAAGTGATGCGAATGCACACCTGACCTTGAGGAAACCAATCAAAACAATCAGCGTCTGTTTGTATTTTGTACATAAAAATGTCGTTCATTCAGTAGGAAGATGTAGATAACAAAAATAAAACACCGTAATCTTCTAACCTTAATCCTAATTGTAACCCTAACGATGGTGACTTTATTGCATAGGGTAAGTTGTGTACCACCCAGTTAGCTCGTTAGTAGTATAGATAACAGACACCAAAATTCAAGTGAGAAATGATCGAAATCTGTATTGTCTGAAGCTCAACACTTGACTCTCTATTAACAAGCTCTCTCTCTCTTCTTGCATTGCACCTCATCTAGTAGAATTGATTGACTGGTTTCAACGTAGAACGTCCCACCGATGTGCGCCAGTTCCAATTGTCACACTCCCTCCAGGTAGCACACAAAGCAAGAGGAGAGAGTAAAGAGAGATAATAAAAAGAGAAATATGGGGCAAAAAAGAGTAATATGGAAGAACAATACAGTTTTACTGGATATGACAAATCACAAGGAGTAAATTCATCTGCGCCAGCGCCGTTGTGAACGATTTTGAGCCATATCACCGATAATCTGCAGTCATTACTTCTTAGAATCCATACGAACTCAACAAGTCAAGAAGTCTACACCTTCCCCAAGTGGCTGGCTTAAACTAACTCTTGTGGATTTCATTGACTGATGAAGCCATCTTTTCGTTTGACCACCATCCTATGTCAGCTATCATTGCCCATCGTCGAGGAAGTTGATGATGGCTAGGGATGCATGCGTAACACATATCCTAACCATCTCAATCGATGTAACTTCACAACCTCGTCGACTGATTTCTCCGCCTTACATATCAAATCAACCGATGTCTCATCTCAATATTGCTCACCTTATTGTAGCACTACCTAACACGGGAGATAGAACGCAGACACCTATGATCAAAGACAGCTAGCTAGCCTGTCTTATCATGTCTTCCACTTTCAATGGCCACCATGTCTCGCTCACAGCCAGTCATAAAGGAGGACAGAACGGACTGACTGCTGCGCAGTATACACGCCCTTTGGTCGATATACGGATATCACGTCCATAAGTATACTGACCAATCAGTTGATGTAGGTTTCCTATATTCGCTTCTTATTCTTCTTGCACCGTTCTCTTTTCTAGTCATAAGGACGTCTAGGAATAAAAACAAAAAACACCACAGTTTCTTTCTTTCTTTCTCGATGGTCAGTACACTCATCTTTACATAAACACATTAAATACTATCGGTCGGTTTTCGACATAGAACTTTGCACATATGTGCGGCAGTTCAAGTCACCACACTCCCTTTTTGTAGCACACAAAGCAAGAGAAGAAAGTAGGAGAAATGCATAATAGAGACAGTAAACAGAGGTGTGAGACAAAGGAATAGTAATAACGAAGAACAAAACAGTTTAATTGGAAATCATAAGTCACAAGGAGTGGATGCATCTGCGCCATTGAGAACGATTTCGAGCCATGTCACCTATTGTTTCCAACCATTGGTTTTTACCGTCCCGAGGACCCCAATCAGGAAGTCTACACCTTCCTACGTGGCTTAGACTAACTGTTGTGGATTTCATTGACTGGAGTCATGCTTTGGTTTGACCGCCACTAGCTCTTTTCCAGCCTGACCCTATATCAGCTTACATTGCCCGTCGAGGAAGGCGATGACTAGGCATACGTAACACATGTCCTAACCATCTCAGTTGATGTAATTTCACAGTCTTGTCGACTGATTTCCCCGCCTTACCTAGCACTCGAGTTAAATACTATAAACTATTTTTACAGTATTTTTTTATAGTTAAATACTATAAAAATAAAAGGAAAGCTTACGTGGTATTATTGTTATTCCATGATGCCGCTGTTGGTGAACTTGGTGAATTCAACAAAGTAGGCGATCCACCACCACCACCACCATCAGGTGACAAATCAGGATCCATACCTGATGTATACAAATTACTACTCGATGATGGAGACATTGCTGGCGATAGATTCTGTTGTGCACGAGATAACTGTTGTTGTTGCTGTTGCTGGAGATACCTTTGTTGCTGTTGTTGTTGTTGATATCGTATCGATTGCTGACTATACTCTGATGTGTCACCAAATATACGAATAGATAATTGTGGTGTGAAATTTATCTTACAAAATGGACATTGTGTTCTCGAATCATTTTCATCAGTTGTCCAACCATCCATTATCTCTTCATCGTATACATAATGATTGCACTTTGGACATGATGAACAAGTGGTTATGAATACATTCAACTGTGATATACGTTCATTGACAATAGGCATTACATTACTATTATTATTATTATTATTACTATTTGAAGTTGTCACACCGCTTGTGGTTGTTGTTGTTGTCGGTGGTGGTGAACTGACATTGGCACAGGATGACATAACAGGAGTGGGTATAGGGGATGATGATGATGACTTGACTTGATGACTTGGATTATTTGCTGTTGTTGTTGTTGTTGAAGGAACTGAGGATACTGAGACATTATCAGGGGTTATTATTGATGATGATGACTTGTCATCTGATTTCACTACATCATCAGGACAAAAATAAAGATGGATGAATACCAATCAAATCAATTAAAATAATTCTTCATCCTCTCATAAAAACTGATTCGAATCAGAACAATATTATTACTTTATTCAGGTATATATGTACTGAGTTGCGTCGTCCTAGAGAGAAGAATAAGAAGTTCAGCAAAGATCCCTGAAGAAGACTTTTCCGGCAGCAACTCTAAGAGTGACATTCTCCAGCCGCCCACTTCTTCAGAGCAATGGAAAGGACAAACTGTCGCATATGACCAATTCAATGTGCATTTACTAGTTCACCTGCTCGTTCGGAGCAAAGTACATAGGTCGTTGTATGCGCGTCCTTTCAAAACATGTTAGAGAACACTACCCAGCGTGGCTGCAAAGAGGAGGCACCGGTTCAATCAGAAGTGCCATTATTGAGCATCTGATCAATACCTCCCCCACAACATCTCAACTGATTCATTCAAAGTAATTTACAAAGTCAACAGAAACCTACCGAAAGCAGTTTGTTTCCGACTTCTCTGTACTGCAGAAGCCCTCGCAATATGCATCGAGAAGCCGGAGCTGTGTGTTCAAAAGAAACTAGTCCAACCTCTACAACTACCATGGATTTAGTTCGGTATGTTACCGTAGCTTCCGTTTTTGTTTTTGTTTTTGATCCCTTTTCGTTCGCTATGTGTGTGTGATTCTTACTCCCTCAGTCTTCATTCGTTTCACACCATTTTTTTTTCCAGTTATAAAAACAGTTATTTTAAGTTTGTTTCCATGCTTTTCCTGTTCACATTTAAAATCCCTTTTTAAAAAAAATTTACAATTATATCTTAATCCTGTGCAATTTTTTGTGTTTCTAAGGCTCTTGTAATCTATATTCACACCTCCTAACTCCCATCTCAAGTTGAAAATTATTATTTCAATTTTGTATCCATGCTCATTTTTACACACTTGATATCCGTTCTAGTCCTGCGTAATTTTGTTTCTAAGCCTCTCGTAAAAACCATATCTAGTTGGAAATAATTATCACCTTTTATTCGCCGTCATAATTATGTAGAATCAAACAAGAATTGTCTCCATGTAAAATTATGTATTTAAATGCGATTGTACAGCTTTTGAAAATGAAATTGCCGAAAAGATATCTTTGCTGAACGTCTTATTCTTCTCAATCTAATGTCCTGGAGAGAATCGAAGATGCACGGAACTAGCCGAACTCAGGAAAAGGCAAATCATGTTTTGATGATAAAAATCGCAACTCTACACATCATCATCAAGCATTGTATGGAATGGCAGTCAAACCTCTACGTAAAACAACTTCATCAACTTTCAAAAGGTCTTCAATAGTCAGTGTTGACCATGAAGTAATTACGAAAACTACTTCAACACTATGGCGTGGACTGCCCAAATCTTTATCAACCTCATTCAACCACAGCTATATGACAATGCCATGTGTCAGGTGATCCAGAAAAGAAAAATTCAGTGAGACGTTTGAAGTGAATACGGGAGTAAGACAAGGCTGTCTGCCTACTGTCATGAAGGACATTCCTAATTGTTGTCGACTGGATTATGCATCAGACTGTGAGAGTGGGGGGGGGGGCGAGAAGACAGACAAACGCTGGGACGATAAGAAGACTCTGGAAGACCTGTACTTTCGCGGATGATTTATGTCTAGTGTAACAGGCAAAAACTAACAAACTGGTTGGAGGAGCAGGCAGCAAAGACAGGATCCTAGGTGAACAAAGGGAAGACGGAGGTGATGAAGATAACTAACCAAGCAACCAACACCAACAGCAACAACCGGCACCAGTCACTATCCACGGGAGCGATTTGAGAGAGGTCACTTCCTCCATTTATCTACAACGGAACGAAATGAATGAGGATATCAACACCAACACCAGAATTGGAAAGGCAATATCAACCTTTCAACACTCTGAAATTAGTTTGGAAATCTTCTGCACTCAGTATACACAATAAAACTCGAATTTACAACACATATTAAGTCAGTCAATTCTTCTACATGAGTCGGTAACTTGGCCCACGCGTTACGAAAAGCATTTTCAACAGACAGTTGCTGCAGACTTTTATCAACAATTGCCCACTCCGATGGCTCCATATACAAGATCAAATGATCAGAAACGGTTAGGCAACAAGAAATTGTGGGAAGAGGACTAACCAAGAAGCTATTGTCCAACAAATATATAGAAGGAAATGGAAATGTTCAAGTGTTGGTTTGTAGGGATTTGATTGGTTACAGGATTTTGATTGTGAGCTGACATTAGTTAGAGAAGCATTGGAAAACCTGGGAGTACTGGACCGCTGTTTCGTCAGTCTAGTTTGGGACTCTTCATCAGTATGCACCCACACCGTGGGATTCGAACGCAGGACCTTCTGGTTACAAGGCGAGCTCGTAGACCATTAAGCCACTGGGACCCAATCCAATGGCCCATGAATTCTAACTTCTGCCAATTCACAACATAGCGCGACCCCTAGCCAATGTCTTCGACGAGTATTTGTCCTCACACCCGACCTGCTGCACCCTACTGGTCACGACTTCTCACTAGAACCCCAGGCAACTACCTACCTGAATAGGGCAAGTCACTAGTGAGCATCTCATTGGAAATGGATCAGAGACACGCTGAGAAGACCACTCACTGAGTAAAATAGCCAGCCAGTTTTCATCGCTCAAGTGGAGACCTAATCAGAAGTCAGCTAAGGAGAGGACTTTTGATGTGGTTGTGTTCTCTGAGCTAGATAGTTAATTTGCGAAGCTTTCATCACCCTACTGGGCGACATCTTCAGCGCATACTTCAATTCGCTGAAGTGAGCTTTTAGATTTCTCCACGAGTTCACCATTAATCATCTCTCCTGGCGACCTTGAACGTGATTGGTTGTTTTTGTGTGTTTTCGCACCTACAAAATAGATTGTATCAACTGCGAAAAACACTACATTGGCCAAAGTGGACGTCCCCTTCGTCTTCGTATCCACGAACATAAGCTAGCTGTCAAAAGACATGATATCCACTCCCTCATATCACTACATACAGACAACCACGGGCATCAATTCGACTGGGACAACGTTCAAATATTAGACAGAGGAAACAACAAGAATGCTAGAGAATTTTTAGAAGCTTGGCATTCCAGTGAATCATCAATCAATAGACACATCGAGATTGACAAAATTTATCAACCGATAAGAAAGAAAACTCATACACAAAGGATCAAAGTTCAAGTCAAAGAAACAATGAATGACAATACAAGTAGCCTAGAAGGTGCGAAAACACACAAAAACAACCAATCACGTTCAAGGTCGCCAGGAGAGATGATTAATGGTGAACTCGTGGAGAAATCTAAAAGCTCACTTCAGCGAATTGAAGTATGCGCTGAAGATGTCGCCCAGTAGGGTGATGAAAGCTTCGCAAATTAACTATCCAGCTCAGAGAACACAACCACATCAAAATCATGCACCTGAGCTACAAATCTTCTCTATTATATCTAAGGAGAGGACTGTACAGTACAAGATAAAATAGAGATGAACAGCTGAACTCACCCCCCCCCCGCGCGCTCCCCCCATATCCAAGACTCACAACCGAAACGGAATAATAAACTAACGAAAAATATTACTAGGTAAAATGAAAAAAGAACTTACTGTCAACAGAAGATTGTACTGACTCATTTATACTCATTAAAGTTGGTGAAGTGGTTAAACTTTTTGAAGTAAACTGTTGAGCATTACCACTTTCATCATCATCATCACGACATTTACTGTGCGGAGTAGTTGATACATTATCAGTACCACCAGTGTCAGCAGTGCTACTCCTACCATCATCACCATCACCACCACCACCACCACTAGTGGCAGTAGTAGAAGTATTACTCGGAGTGAGAAATGAAGTATTTTCACCCATTGGATTCGATACTACTGGTGATGACGTAATATTATTATCATTTGCATACTGTCGTTGTTGTTGTTGCTGTTGGTGATACTGATGATGATGCTGTAAGATGATTGTACGTAAATTACCCGGTGACATACGACGATTAGGATCACCAACAAGCAATGGACCAGCAATATTGATCCACATATCTTTTAATGACTTTAAGTCATTATAAGGATTAACTAAGAGAGAGAGAAAAAACAAACAAAAATAAATAATAATAAGAAGCAGAGATGAAAAACAGAGATAAATACATACAGTGATAAATATATATCAGCACTAAGAAGGGAGGGGGCGCGGGTTAGGGAAAATAACTTCATCGCTGTGTGAATATTATAAACTGAGCGAGAACTGAACTATGCAAAAAAGTTAACCGCTGGCTATGGTGTTATATAATTATTGCATACTGATTGTTACAATGATATTCACTTTTCAAGAGTTGATATCTGTTGGGATTAAAAACCAACAGGAAGTACGGGATAGTCAGCTGTTTCGGCAGTATGCGCCAATCTCACCTAGGTTGGAACCCCGGATCTTCCGGTTACAAGGGGCAAGCTCGTAGATCATTCATCAGACACTGGGACCCGACTCCTCAATAGCTAGCCCATGAATTCTTACTTCTAACAATTTGTGATTTTTTAATGGTCAAACTCTTGAAAATTAATCTAATGCTCACGAATGACTAGATACTGGACGGAGTTTCCTGCAGTTCTAGTGAGAATTCGTGACCAGTGAGGTCTATCTCGTCGGGAGTAATAACAAATACTCATCGATGACATTTGGTTGGTGTCAGTCGCGCTAAAATCACGAATTGATAGAAGTTAGAATTCAAGCACTGGCCATTGAGGAGTTGGGTCGCAGTGGCTGAATGGTCTGCGAGCTCGCTAGCTATGTAACCGGAAGGTCCTGGGTTCGAACTCTGGTCGGTGGGTGCGTACTGATGATGACTGCCAAACTAGGATGAAACAGCTGACTATCCAGTACTCCCTGATGGTTTTTAATGGTTCTCTAACTGGTGTCAATCCGTGGTCAAGTTTGAAAAGTAATATTTACTGTATGACGGAGTTTTGAACACAATTCGGTTTTTATAATCATATCATAGTTGAAAGTATACATATATGGGAATGGAACGCTTACAGGAAAGTTCTGTCTGTCTGTCTGTCTGTTTTCGACATAGAACTTTGCACATATGTGCGGCAGTTCAAGTCGCCACAATCTATGTAGCACGCAAAGCAAGAGAAGGAAGTAGAAGAAATGCATAATATAGACAGTGAACAGAGGTGTGAGACAAAGGAGTAGTAACAGCGAAGAACAAAACAGTTTCATCGGAAATCATAAGTCACAAGGAGTGGATGCATCTGCGCCACTGAGAACGATTTTGAGCCATGTCACCTATTGTTTCCAACCATTGGTTTTTACCATCCCGAGGACCCCAACCAGGAAGTCTACATCTCCCTACGTGACTTAGACTAACTGTTGTGGATTTCATTGATTGGTGCCATGTTTTGGTTTGACCGCCGCTAGCTCTTTTCCAGCCTGGCCCTATGTCAGCTAACATTGCCCGTCGAGGAAGGCGATGACTAGGCATACGTAACACATGTCCCAACCATCTCAGTCGATGTAATTTCACAGTCTCATCGATTGATTTCCCCGCTTTACCTAGCACTCGACGCCTAACCTCAATATTGCTCACCTTATTATACCACTTCACGCGGGAGATAGAGCGCAGACACCTATGATCTTTTCATGTCTTCTGCTCTCAATGGCCAGGTACAGGAAAGTTCACATTTTCCTAGAGTACGGTTCGGATTATGTCGATAATCTACATGCTGTTAAAGAGAATACAGTGGTATGGATTAAAGTTTTCACCTACAACTAATACATTATAACAGATTCCTAGACTTTCTCTTTAGTAACAGATATCGTAGAATCTCTTGCTACAAAAAAGCAAAATCTCTGAGAAACTTTGATAGAATATGTTTTCCCCTCCAGATTCATAGATACGAAAGAAGCTGAACCTAAACGAAAGGTCTGAAAAGGTCCAAGTCGCTTCCAAAAAAATACTGATGATGTCTAACCTTAAAGTAAACAGTAGACAGCTTTCGAAATCTCTCAGTACAACATACTTCTCGACCAGCCAACGAGTGTCACCTTCTCTCATGAAACTATTCAACTAGCAAGTGAAAGAAAAAGTTCCGCATTGGGTCACTTCGACATGCATGTACCAGTTCATTTGCTCCTGTGGAGCTGACTACATTGGCTATACAATGCGTCCATCTTATAAAACGCTCTCGGAAACACTATCCAGCATGATTAGCAAAGGTAGAACACAAGTATTTACAGAGTTCGGTAAGAGAACATCTGGTCAATTCGGGACATTCACCTCCATTTGATAGGTCCTTCAAGGTTGTATAGAAACCTCTCAAAAGGAGTTAAATCAAAGCATCCAGCTGGGCATAGCTGAATCACTAACGATTCAGAAGTTCAGGCCCTTGCTATGTTGTCCCCACCATGGTCATCATAAACAGTCAGTCCTACCAATAATTATTATCCTATTACCTTATCCATTCTTCTTGTTTATTTCTGTTATGTTTCACGTTTTTCATTCCCTATCTGCATTATTGTGTTGTTTTTTTTTATGCGAACTTCCAACCCAATTTTGTTATTATTACTACACTTTTAATTTTTTTAATTGCAAGAACAGTCAAGTTTCACAGTAATTATGATCCTAGTATGTTTGTTTCGCATCCGATCTTTCTGTTTATTATTACACTTTGTAATTTTAGCAATGTGATCCTTGGCCGGATATATATAATTCTGGAACTTTCTCACCCGTTTTTAATAATATATGTAAAGCCTAGTTGATGATGAGACTCCGTTGAAAAGGAAAACTTTCTTCTCTGCAACCATCTTTTTAAGAATACATTAGTAGTAGTAGTAGTACTCCACCTCCTTTGTAGTAGATAAATGGATGATAACCCGATGGGTGCGTACTGATGAAGAGTCCCAAACTAGGCTGACGAAACAGCTGGCTGTCCAGTACTCCCTGTGGCTGGTTTTCCAATGGTTCTCTAACTGATGTCAGCTCATGATGAAATCCTCCAACCAAAACACAATCAATCGGTGGATTCACAAGATCCAGATAACAATAAAAAAGTCAATAAACCAACAAGAAACGAATATGTGCCCCGCGGAACTTCAGCAACTATCGGAATGTGTGACAACTCTGCGTATTCGTTTGTCAGTACGCTTCCCTAGAACAGCTTGCATCCAACGACATCACTGTGTAAGTAATTCTGAGATTTGGAGGCGTCTGTTTTTGAATAGTCAACAACTTCGGTGGCTCGGACATTTGTCATCATCCTAGAGACTCCCACATTGCTAGCTGTTCGCTAGCCTAGTACTACTAGATGGATAGGGCGGACGGGTGGTCAGCCTATGAAGTAGAGCCATGAGATGAAGGATATCTGTGTTAGGTTAGAATCCATTGGTACTTAAAGACTCCGTGAATGGGGTCGGAAAGATGTCTCATGACATTATCACATATGGCTAAGGATTATAATTAATGCTGGACATGATCTACAGGCTGGTTTCAGCAAAGAACTTTGCACAGTAGTGCACCAGTCAGAGTTTTTACACTCTATGTGGTACACAAATGAAAACAAAAAAAAAGGAAAAAAGAGATTCAAAAGGAGGACGGTGATATGCAGAAATGTGAGGGAAAAAGAAAGAATAATAACACGAGGAAACACAAGGATTTAATGGATATGAGAGATCCCAAAGAGTAAAATATATCTAAGCCATTGAAAACGATTCCTAAAAGCATCACCCAATTGTCTCAAGCCACTTGGTTATTAGAATCCTGAGCAACCTAACTAGGAAGTCTACACCTCTCTCTAGGTGGATGGACCAAACCAAAAGTCAAAGACTCCACTGGTTGATATTCCATGTTTTGGTTTGACCACTTCTGGCTCCTTTCCAATCTATCTAATCCTATCTCAGCTAACACTGACCATCGTACAAGAAGGCGATGGCTAGGCGTATATGTAACACATGTCCTTACCATCTTAATCGATGTAGATCCTTACCTAACCTCAATATTACTCACTCTATCATATCATCTAACACAATAGATAGATAGAACGGAGACACCTTTGATCAAAGACAGCTAGTCAGTCTTTTCATATCTTCCACTTTCAAAGACCATGTCTAACAGCCATACACATATACTGTTGCGCAGTACATACACGTCCGTCATCGGTAGACAGACGAATATCACGTCTACCTAAGCCAAAGATGATGCAGTTTGAGAAACCCCACATGAAGCTTTTGTATTCATACTGACATTTCGTAAGCAATCAATCAGTCCATTGAGGCCACAGTATAGTGATCAACACTCTCTACCACTTTACTCCTGTCCATTTTTTTCGAAGTAAGAGTTGGAGGTGTTATTCCAGTCCTGTTACAACAAGATCAAAAAACATGTCAAACACTCAAAGACTTTTCTGCTCAAGGTGTGTTTATCAGTATCTTCATCTAGGAGGAGTATATCATTCGCATATTGCAAGTCAACAAAGTGTGTGTCAGTAGCACAGCAGTAGAATGCTCACCAACCACGCGCCTCATGAGACAGCAGAAGACATGAAAAGATTAGCTGTCTTCGATCATAGGTGTCTGCATTCTATCTCCCGCGTGAAGTGGTATGATAAGGTGAGCAATGTTGAGGTGAGGCATCGGTCGAGTGCTAGGTAAGGCGGGGAAATCAGTCGACGAAACTGTGGAATTACATCAACTGAGATGGTTAGGACATGTTTCACGTATGCCTAGTCATCGCCTTCCTCGATGGGCAATGTTAGCTGATATAGGGCCAGGCTGGAAAAGAGCTAGTGGCGGTCAAACCAAAACATGGCTTCATCAGTCAATGAAATCCACAACAGTTAGTCTAAGTCACGTAGGAAGATGTAGACTTCTTGGTTGGGGTCCTCGGGACGGTAAAAACGAATGGTTGGAAACAATAGGTGACATGGCTCAAAATCGTTCTCAGTGGTGCAGATGCATCCACTCCTTGTGTCTTATGATTTCCAATGAAACTATATTGTTCTTCGTTATTACTATTCCTTTGTCTCACACCTCTGTTTACTGTCTCTATTATGCATTTCTCCTACTTTCTTCTCTTGCTTTGTGTGCTACATGGAGTGTGGCGACTTGAACTGACGCACATTTGTGCAAAGTTCTATGTCGAAAACCGACCGACCGACCGACGCGCCTCATGTGGTCCGAGGTTCGATCTCCGGCCACCAACACACTCGTTTACCTCGCCAAACCAGTAAAAAAAATACACTGCTAAGGAGCGAAGGTTGAACATGAGGCTGGCTAGCAACTCCATCCTGTAGAAGTAAACACTACTGCTACCGAAACTTCGAGTTTACAGCTTGAAGCTGGGAATAAAAAGAAGTCAACAAAACTGTATGAACACAACAATATAATGAAGAAAACAAAGGAGTCTTTACCTCGAGGATTATGCCCATGATCATAATTCATTTGAGCATTGTCGTGGATAACATCGGTCACTGATGCAAATTGATTAGACTGAGAATAATAATCACTATTATTATGATTATTATTACTCCTGGTATTACAATCCCCATGATCTTCATTCATTGGATTTCTAATGTAATAAGAATTGAACAGTCGATTAGTATCACGTAGCAATGGAATACCACCACCCCCACCACCACTAGTACTTGTTGTACCAATGACTGGACTAAATGTTGGATTATTATTATTAGTAGTATTACTATTATTGTTACTGACTGATTTACTAGTCCATAACAATGGAGAAATATACCCACTTTGTGCTTGATATTGATGCACATGATAAGCATCCTGGGATGATGAACGAATCTCGGATAAATCAGATCCTGTAAAACAACTTGTTGCAACAGAAGCAGAAGCAGAAGCGCCAGTAGTCGTAGCACGTCTACCTGATTGTGGTGTTGGATTCGTTGATAAACTTGGTATTAATGACCGCCAACCTAACAATGAACGGTTTGCATTGATAAGATTCATAAAATCTGATGTCGACCTATTAAAAAAAAAGAAAAAAAAACAAGAAGAAGAGGTAATCGAAGCAAGTGCAAACGATTACACATATGGATTACATAATGCGTAAAAATTGAGGAGTAATTAAGAAATAAATGAATGAATGAGTCAATGAATGTTCGAATTGATTGCACGAAATTAGAAAAAGCGCCCTTCGAAGTTCGAAGCGGAACACACAATGATACACAACTGCATGTCTTCACTTTGTCTGTCCTATTCTCCACAGTCTTCTTCTCTAGTCTGTAGGCCTTTATTAACTGGTTCCACGACTGCCTATGGGCTCTCATAATCCTCTTCACATCTCATCTTCTCCATGTCACATCTTCAGGCCCATGCCAAACTAATTGTTTCCCATTAGGGCAGGCGCGTTGTCACCCAGTGTGGTCTCCTATTCATGTGCGTGTATGTGTCCCATGATTGGTTTGTTCCCATTGTTTCCTGTTGTGATAATTCTTTCCAGCTGGCCAATTGATCTTCAGTGTGGAGGCAGGGAAGGCGTCTGAATCGAGTTGTTGGAAATGCTTTCCGTGATGCGTGCATCAAGTTTCTGATCCATATATAGAAGAAATGACTGACTTGATATTAGTGTTAAAAATCCGAGTCTTATTCTTAGAATATGCAGATGATATAGCCTTGCCTCTTAGGTGAAGACGCTGACGAAATGCGGAGTTTTCTGAACATCTTCAGCAGCAATCTTTGAATGCCTGGCATGTGATTCGTTCCTATTGTCAAATGTAAGATGATGCTAGAGGACTATTAGACTACATTGACTCACTTCTAGATTAAAGATAAGCAGGAGTGAAACTATCCGGTCAAATCTTGATCCCAGTTCATATGAGGAGTGAAACTGTTGGTGGAGCGTGTTAACCAATTCACTTATTTGGGAAGTTACATCAGCCAGCCCCCCAGCGGGTTGATCGCTGACGAAATTTCGGAACGGATACAGAAGGCTAGTTTCGCATATGACAGTTTACACCATCTCTGCTGACTGGCTGTCGACCAAAGGGCGTGTGTTCTACTCAGCAGTCCGCTCCGTCCTCCTTCATGGCTAGCTGTGAGACATGGTGGCCATTGAAAGTGGAAGACATGATAAGACAGGCTAGCTAGCTGTCTTTGATCATAGGTGTCTGCGTTCTATCTCCCCGTGGTAGGTAGTTATATGATAAGGTGCGCAATATGAAGGTCAGACGTCGAGTGTTAGGTAGGGAGGAGAAATCGATTGACGAGGTTGTGAAGTTACATCGATTGAGATGGTTAGGACATATGTTACGCATGCATCCCTAGCCATCATCACCTTCCTCAACGATGGGCAATGATAGCTGATATAGGATGGATCAGGTTGGAAAAGAGTTAACCAGTGGCGGTGGTCAAACAAAAACATGGCTTCATCAGTCAATGAAATCCACAAGAGTTAGTTTAAGCCAGCCACGTGGGGAAGGTGTAGACTTCCTGACTGGTTGAGTTCGTATGGATTCTAAGAAGTAATGACTGAAGACTATTGGTGATATGGGTCAAAATTATTCTCAGTGGAATGCGCAGATGTATTCACAATTTTTGATTTATAATATACATAAAACTCTATTGCTCTTCCATATTACTATTCTTTTTACCCCACATTTCTGTTTATTATATCTGTTTTTTCTCTGTTCCCTTGCTTTGTAAGCCACATGGAGGGAGAGTGTCAACTAAAAGTGCTACACATCTGTGCAGAATTCTACTTTGAAACCAATCATCCATTCAGTTAGACAGAATCTTATTCTTTATGCTGAATGCAGAAGATTTGTAAACTGAATTCAAAGTGATAATGAAGGTCAGTGTTGGACTACCCGACCCTGGTTTTGACATCCTCATGCATCCTCATGCTGGTTAGATAAGTAAGGGAGGAAGTAACCTCTTTCAAATCTATTCCACTATTCGTTAAATTTGAATGTAAACTACGTTACGAACGGATAGCTGTTTTGTTTTAAGTTTGGCACCTCACGACTCCACATCAAGGGTGATGGTGGGGCAGTGCTCTTGGAAGTGTGTGGGTGGTTTTTACTTCCCGGCTGCCAATACACCGTGGAAGTTGGTTGATTCTTCGGGTACCTGAAACAGAGAGAGGGTTAGTGTTGCGTGACCACCGAGTCTAGGGGACAAATGCTTGAGGCCGGTCACACACGGCCCGTATGAAATAGTTTCTTGGTTTGATTCCATATTAGTAAACTTACCACTGGTTACGGAGTACTTTAGGGTAAGTCGGGATGTATAATTGTTGGGGTCGACCTTTTCTAACTCCCTCTCCTCAGAGTGGAGAGACAGCATAGCTGGCTTGTCATCTGAGGGACACCCTTTACTGCTGTTACATCTCTGTCCCTCAGTAGTACGACTTCTCCCAAAGACCCCAAGCATAGTGTAAAACAAAAAATTTTACACTAAGCCGGTAACTGCTTTTAGTCTAATCGCTATCCTAACAATCTTCCTGGCATAGTAGGACCTGAAGAAACACCATTGCGATATTCAAGCCCGGCGACCACCACGTCAAGGTAGCAGCTGTCGGTCGAGGGTGGTGGTGTTAGGGGACGGGACGGGTGGAGAATCGAACCAACCAAGTCTACTGAACATTAAAACTCTAAACCTTCAAAATCAATCAAATAGACCCACAGAATCGAATCTGACATCAATGTAACCAAAAATTCATGTCTTCAACGAAAACGAAGGAACAAACAAACAAACGGACAGATCAGATTTCACTTACTTATTAAAAAAATCCAGTGCATTATGAACAACTGAACTTTTAGCCTGTGGTGTATTATTAACACCTTCTTGTGATTCTATTTCATCCTGATCAGTATCATGTATGGCATTGTTCTTGTGCATATTGTTCACTAAATAATCACCACCCATAACCATTAACTGTTGTCCAGTAATATCTATGGAATCAATTGATTTTCTTGGTGATTTCTGTAATAATAACATATGTTTACTACTATTATTATTGTTATCTATTTCTGCTATTAACGGTTTTTTACTAATCATATCGATACTACTATGATGTGAGTAGTATAAACGTGGATTATGCAGAGTTGCATTACGATTAGACGGTTGAAAGACAGGACGTTTTATCTGCGGTACAGTAGATGATGATGATGATGATAGCAATATATCAGTACTACTATGATAAGTAGTAGAGTTCTCTGGCGCCGCCGCCTCCTCCTCCTCTTCTGAATGCTGTTGTTGTTCATCAGATTCTTGACTGTCTTCATTAGTCGTAGAAGAATATGAATCATCATTAGTCGTTGCCTCACTACTATTTGTATTAACGTCGACAGTATGGACATTGTCTTTAATAGCAGCAGCAGTAATGCCCTCAGTATTTGATGAAATATTCTTCTCTTTATCTGTCTTGATATGCGTAGAAGTTGATTTCAAATTCTCATCATTAAAAGGATTCACCTTTGAATTAGGATTCAATTCATTGAAATGATGATTGTGATGGTGATGATTTGAAGTAGAGTCTGAAGTAAAAAACAAAAAAGAAAGGAAGAATAGACAGGAGACAAAAGAATTGAAATAACAAGCAAACAAAGTCATGAGTTTAGTCCGTCTCCCCTGCCCCGCCGCCTGTTCGGTGCAGAGTGAATCCTATGAAACTAACTAGGTGTGTGTGTGTGACTTACTCATCATCATAGTTTACTCTGAATTGATATTATAAATGACATAAAGTCTTGTCTAACCAAGGTTTCGTGCTTATTGGCACTTACCGGTCAGTCGGTCGGTTGGTCAGACAGTCAGGTGTATTTGCAATCTTGTAGAAGAAAGTCATCTCCCTTTCTGAGATTCGAACCCGTGACGTTATCAATGAACTAGTCATCCTCACGACTGACCTCCTTAAAACTTCCGTGAATAGTAATGAACCGACTTGAAACGATGGGTACCGGGTTCGAGCCTCAGTGGGAACACCATCCACTACTCATTAGGGAATGCAGGTGCATTCACTGGCTAAACAGTCCCAAATAGGATTAAATGCGCATCCTGGTGGATCCCACTACTAGTCACTATCCACAAATTTACTTTAAGAATGTCATTAGGTTCATAGTAGCCAACAATGTATTTGGAACTCGTCAGTGGGGTGTACCAGTATCTATCTAGAGTGAGTAATGAGAAATTCTGACCTCTAATAAGCCACAACTAATATCCATTGTACAAGTGGTATTGCTACACGATTCTTTCGAGCCTAAGACTATGGCTCTTTGGCTAGAGACATAGGCTGACTGAGCACCATTAAAACCAACTGATGAGTGTCAAGGCAAGACGAAACACGTCTGCTAGTGACCATCTACCACTTATCAAACAATAGAGTAGATAACATTTCGCACTTGTAGAGTAGTTTCCGTTCTGTGTGCGTCGGTGGTGTTCACTGGTAGAATGCTCGCCAACCACGACGCTTCATATGATTTGGGGTTCGGTCCTAGGCCGATGCACTCCTAAATGAAAACCTCGCTAAGCCTGTAGAGTAAGGCCCGTTAAGCGAGAAATTTTAGCAAGCGTGGGGGTAGCAACCCCTTCCCAGTGAAAAGGAATAAAGCTTCTTCTACTGAAGCTTCAAAGCTCTCTAGCTTGAAGCCTTATGCTCCACTCGGGACGTAAAGGAATCGAATAAATAAATTAATTAATTAATTAGTGATAGTAATAATAAAGTTTCAGTTTTCTTATGTATTACATAGAATACATGACATTAGTAATAGTGATAGTATTTCTGTTTTAAAATAATCATTACCATTTATTTCTTGTTTCACTGGTGATGTACCAGCTGTTGCTGCTGCTGCTGCTGCTACTGTTGACGGTGGTGTTGGTGCTGCTAGATTCCCATCAATATGAGTAGTAGATGAAGGCTGACTACTACACTTCTCTACAGTCGGATGAGTATGATTAACAACATCATTGTCTCCATTACAAACACCCTTTTCCTCTGACCAATCATGATCATCGCTTGCTTTATCCACCTCAGCGACTGTTGTAGCTGTTGTAGTATTCAATGTTGAATAGCCTAAATCAGGAAGATCATCCGATGAAGTGAGTAGTTGCGGTGCTTTGATACCAGCTTGAGTGTAGGAGATGTAGTGTGTGTGTGTGGGTGTGTGTGTGAGTTGTTTTCATTTTGAACAAGAGAAAAAAGGAAAGGAAGATATTGATCATAAGATGAGGATAAATTTTCGGCATAAAGAAATACATACATGTACAGGTTATCTAAACTGAAGATAACAAACTGAACGATCCTGTAAGGCGAATGTATGAAGATGGGGTTCATAATAAGCTAACGATATCCGTTAATTTTAACACGGATAGAAGTGAAATATTTTGATATAGTACAAAAATTCTTTAGTGGTGTGTAAAGTGTATTGGTAGTGCCGTTGATAAGCTACCCTGTATCCAAGCCCTTACTAAATGCAATTCACCTGATTACCCAATAATCAATCCAGTACTCTACTCTACCTAACCCGTAAGTACTGACGACAAACACAAATTCTTGAAATTCAAGTATTGGTTTGTAGGGATTTGATTGATTGGTTACAGGATTTCATCACGAGTTGACATCATTTAGAGAACCATTTGAAAACCTGCAGAGAGTACTGGACAGCCAGCTGTTTCGTCAACCTAGTTCGGGACTCTACACCAGTACTCACTCACCAACACTAAGGTTCGAAACCCAGGACCTTCTGGTTACAAGGCGAGCTCGTAGACCCTTAAGCCACTGAGACCCGATCCAATGACCCAGTAGGACACAGTAGGTCGGGTGTGACGACAAATACTCGCCGAAGGTATTGGCGGAAATTACAATATATATGAGCTGGCCATTGGATGGGGTCCCAGTGGCTTAATGGTCTACAAGCTCGATAGCCTCGTAACTGGATGGTCCTGGGTTCGAACCCCAGTGGGTGCGTACTGATGCAGGGTCCCATAATGGATTTGACGAAACAACTGGCTGACCAGTACTCTTAGTTCTTCCAATGGTTCTCTCACCGATGTCAGATCACGATGAAATCTAGTAAGAAATTCTTGAAAATGTGCTCTAGTGAGCTGCATATATGCGTACACAATAAAATATTAAGACTATTCAGGGAATATGACAGCATTACAAACTCAAAAGAATGTGCGTCTTCACGGCACGATGGAAAAGCGCAAAATGGCGTTGAAGCCACTCCAAGTATGTACACGCAGTGTGATATACAGTATTGATAACTGGATGATACACATCTATTATTATTATAAATCCCTGAGGTTCCAAGAGGTAAATAAGACCATATCTTCATTTCATCCTGTTTTATGCAGTTCTCTCCAGCTAGCTACCACAATTGCTCATAAGCCATTATCTCCTTTCCACAGAATCTCCTTCATGTCACCATTGGACCCACGCTCAACCACCTGCCGCTTCCCATTCGAGTTCTACTCGACGGCCTTCTCCAAGTGTCTCCGATCCATCTCCATTTCAGGTTGTTGGTTCGTTTGGTGCATTGTAGAATCCCTTATTGCTAATAATTCTTGGCCATCTGATCTTCAGCATGGAAACAGATAAGGTGGCTGTTGGTAAAGGCTTGAAGTAAACTGTTGGAAAAACGTTTCGTGACACACCAAGTCTCTGCACAACATAAAAGAACTAACTTGAAATGAATGTTGAAAATTCGGATCTTATTTTTCGTGATGAGTAGTGCTGTTGATCTCCTCACAGACTTGAGAGTAATGAAAGCTTGTCTTGCTTTCCTGATCCTCGCACTTTGATATCCTCATCAGTTCCGTCCACCAGTAGTTGAAACGATCCTTCCCAGGTAGGTAGGTAGGTGAAGGAGGTAGCTCCTTTCAGATTTCTCCCATTTATGCTGATTGTCATCTGTTGTTGTTGTTGCTGCTGTTGGTGATGTTGCCCAGGAATCTTCATCACCCACCTCTGTTTTCTCTATGTTCACCTGAAGTCCTATCTTTTATGCTTCTCCAGCGAACTTGTTGCTTTTCACTTGCATATCTTCCAGTATGTGGGAAATCAGACATATATCACATCGGCGAAGTCCAGATCCTCCAAGTTACTTATTGTGTTGGTCCATTTTATGCCTATCTCCTCAACGCCAGCTATCTGTAGTATTATCCAGTCTACCGCCGGCAATCAGGAAAATCATTGGAGATAGTAGACAACCAGCCAGCTTGTCTTACTCCTGTCTTCACTTCACAGGATTCCGTGAGTTTCCCGTAGCATGTAGCATTGTCGTACAGCTGTTGGATGATTATGTGCGATAAATAATCGTAGAACCAGCTGAAGCAAAAGAGAGAGAGAGAACTACAGACAGCGGGATGAAATAGAGATATGCTGTTGAAGCCCTGCATTCCATTGGGAGCCCAAGGGAATAATAGTAATAATAATAATAATACTAAACCTGAATCAAGCAATCACATACTATTTCAGGCTATTCGCAAATAAAAAAACTCACTTAAATTTCTTCCATCAGTGATATTTGAAGCTGAATTCATCAAGACAGTTTGAGGAATTGAATCTACAGCAGACGCAGAACGACGATGTGTTAAATTCATATTCATCTGTTGATGTTCATGTTGTCCTTGTTGTTTTTTCTGTTGTTGTTGTTGTTGTCTGAATGCAGACAACTTTAAACGATCTCGTTCTAATCTCTCCTTTTCCATCATCTCTCTCTCATACTCTTTATAGATCTAAAACAAAAAAGAGAGAAAATGAGAGGTGGCTATAAAAATCTGAGTGAAAACACTGAAGTACATTTTTTAAAATTCAATTATCCGAGCTCTCTCATCGATTGATTGAAGCAAAGTGCTCGGACTCTATTGATTGACATGTCAGCGGCTGCTGCTTGTGCAAATTGCTTCAACGATGTCTGATTATTATTGAAATTGATGTAAATTAGTGGATAGTCACTAGCGACTCGTCATCCCCAGTGGATGGTACCTGCATTCCTCAATGAGTAGTGGATAATGTTCCCATTGTGAAGCTCGAATCCAGTACCCCCATCATTCCATAACGCGCCAAAGGGTTGTCCAGTTGACCACCTAGCCCACGAGATCCACCTCTTGTGCAACGGGTATCAATGATTATTGAATTGAATTGGGACTTTTCCGTTGTCTGACTGCACTTAAGTGCTCGGCTAGTCACCATGCATCAATTTACTCCAAGTTAAATAGTCAAACATCGTCAAAGCATCTGTACATGGAGACGCCAACGTGTCAACCTGATGCCGAGCACTTTAGTCCAACTAATCAATGGGAAAGTTTACAGTGAATTAAACAATTACAGATAATCGTCGCACAAGAGGTGGCTCTTGTGGCCCAGGTGGTCTAGTGTGGATAACATTTTGGTGTGTTTGATCCTCAGTGAAAACACCATCCGCTACTCTAACCAGGGAATGCAGGTACATCTAACTGGTTGACGAGTCCCAGATAGGGCGAAACGCGCAGCCTAGTGGATTCCACTGCTAGTCACTATACACCAATTTACTTTAAAATGAAAGTGCTTTGACTGAATACTAACAAGTAACTAGTGTCACGTATCTAACCCTTCGTTTGGGGTGCAAACTGGATTCTATCATTCAAGTTTTCAATTACATCATCGCGGTGTACTGCGAATTGTTGTTAGTCGATGGTTGGAAGCAACCGGTGAGAAGCCTTATCTGACCTAGGTTTTGTACCTGGTGGCCATTCACCAGTCAATGGGGTGGAGGGGGGGGGCTATTCATAATCTTCAAAGAAATCCATGATGCTTTGGAGATTTGAACTTGCTTAGGACATCCAGTGTGCTTCAGTGAGAGATGTTATTACTCACTCAGGTATTTGAGCTCACAATTGACATCCTGTAGAACTGTATTGGATGGATCCTTTGGCTGAACACTATATATTAACTAACGTTAAACTTCACACAACCAATTATTTGTTTGTGAAAATATAGCAATTTGAATCAGTTCTAATCATACTAGTTATCTTCATGTGTTATTTTTAATTTGATATACTTTCCTCGGAAGTACATTTTTTGGTCTTGGTGGGGGTTGGGTGGGTGGTTTTAGAGGGAGTTGTTCAGTACCACATCTGTACTGTTGCAGGAAACCTTCAATTTATCATCAGTGTTAGTCTGGTATTTGTGGACAATGCTCAGAAGGCTTCACTCAAATAATATTTTCATTGATTTCTAAGACAGATGTTACAGTATACGCTACTCATAAGTTAGTTATAAGTAGCACACACACAAACACAGTCTATTTTATTATGTATTACAAATGTCAAATATGAATGAAGTACAGATATGATGGAGAAGATTTGTAGCTCAGGTGAACGATTTTGATGTGGTTGTGTTCTCTGAGCTGGTCAGTTAATTTGCGAAGCTATCATCACCCTACTAGGTGACGTCTTCTTTCAGCGCATACTTTAATTCGCTGAAGTGAGCTTTTAGATTTCTCCACGAGTTTATTAGACATCCCTCCTGGTCACCTTGAACGTGATTGGTTTCTTTTGTGTGTTTTTACACCTTCTAGGCTACTTGTATTGTCACTCATTGTTTCCTTGACTTGAACTTTGACCCTTTGTGTGTGAGTTTACCTTCTTATCGATTGGTAAATTTTGTCTACCTCGATGTGTCTATTGATTGACGACTTACTGAAATACCAACCTCGCAAAAATTTTCTGGTGTTCTCGGTATTTCCTCTGTCTTATATTTGAACGTTGGTTGTTCCAGCCAAATTGATGTCCGTGGTTGTCTGTATGCAGTGAGTGATATAAGGGAGTGGATGTCATATCTTTTGACTAGTGTATGATCATGGATACAAGGATGAAGCGTGACATCAGGCTATCAACCAAGGGACGTGTGCACTGCTCAGAAGTTCGCTCCGTCCTTCTCTATGGCTCTGAAACATGGCCAATGCGAGTTGAAGACATGAGAGGGTTGACTGTTTTTTATCATAGATGTTTACGATCTCTTTCTCACCTTAGGCAGCATAATATAGTAAGTAATATTGACGTTAGGCGTAGAGTGTTGGGCAAAGAGGGAAAATCAATCGAAGAGGCTATAAAGTTACATAGACTGAGATGTCTAGGTCACGTGCTGTGCATGCCTAACCATCGCCTCCCGCACCGCCGACGGGCATTACTAGCTGATATAGGTGGAGGTTGGAAAAGAGTAAGTGGGGGCCAAACAAAAACATGGCCTCATCAATCCATGAAATCCTTGACAGTTAAACTGAGTCAGGTAGGGAGGGAGATGCAGACTTCCGGGTTGGGGCCCGCCCTCGGGACTCTAAAAATCAATGACTGGAGACAATAGGTGACATGGCTCAAAATCGTTGCCAATGGCTAGCGCAGATGTATTCAGTCTCTGTAATCTTTCATATTCCTTTCTACCATTACTCATTCTGTTTCACCCTTATACTTGTCAAAACTCTATTGATTCTCTTTACTCATTTTCTTGTCTACATTTGTGTGCTATTTGGAATGTGGCAACTCGAACTGCTGAACTTCGGTGCCAAGTTCTATGTTGAATCCAGACAGAGACAGGCAAAGACGAAGGGGACGTCCATTTTGGCCAATGAATGAAGCACACAATCATTCAAAAATTCGGATTAAGAACTATAAGAAATTGGGACACCCATAAAAAACACTAACTAGCACAGTTGTCAAAAGGAGAATGTAGGACAATCAACAGCTGCTCAATTCTGGAGCATATTATAAAAAAGTACGAGACCAAGTCGTTTGAAAGGATTTCGTTTACATCTTCTTGATGCATTTGAAGCCTCAGAAAGCGGCATAGGAATAAACCTGAACTTTGTGTTATTCAGAAACGATTCATCCAGCCCCTTTTTTACTACCATAACCTTAAAACTCCGCTATCTTCTCCCATCTTTGTCTCCCTGAGTAACTGTTGTATAATAAGCCCTATGTAGTCTGCACTTTATATTCATCATCGCAAGTCATCTTCAATTTTTTTATTCAGTTGTATCTTATCAATCATTTTCCAAAAGATTATTCATCAAACAACGACTTATTTATCAACCCTTTTGATTACGTAAGACTATTCCTTAATTTTCAAATACAGTTTACTATTGCTCACCCATTTATTACATTATCATCTGACGATAACCTTTGACCTCTGTTGTCAATCTGTACTAACTGTACACCTTTGAAGGGAAGTTACTAAAACAATTGATCTCTCTTGCTGACTCATGTATTCTTCACTTGATTACATGAAATGCAAATTTTTCATACTTATCTAAACTTATTTGAAAATTTCCGAGATCTACAGTTTGTAGGGATTAGATTTGTTTCGACTTTGATGACGGGTTCATATCAGTTAGAGAACCATTGAAAACCACTAGAGTATTGGACAGCTAGCTAGCTGTTTCGTCAGTCTAGTTTGGGACTCATCGGCAGTGTGCATCTTTCACCAGGGTTCTGACCCAGGACTTTCGAGTCAGAAGACGAGCTAATAGACCATTCACAGCCACTAGGACCCAACTCATTCGGTCAGTTCATGAATTCTAACTTCTACCAATTTGTGATTTTAGCACGAGCACTACTTCTGTGCTGAGTACTACTTATAATCAGATATAAATAGTATATCAGTATGACAAGTAGAGAAAATAAGGCGCTTTCATCACACAATATCAACTTACATGGTTTGCAATTCCAGTCGAAGAGAGATTCCAATTCACTGAATCAATAAAATGTTTCAAATCCAAATTTTCTATACGATTCTGATATAGTAAAACTAACAGAATGCGTAAAGCAACCTATTTCATCAATGGGAATAATAACAAGAGCAAAAGTAAGGTAAGACAGTATCTAATAATAATAATAATAATAATAATAAAAATAAAAATCAGAAAACATGTGACCAAGAAAGTATTATTATCATTATTATTGTTTCCTTTAGGTCGTAGAGGAACACACGACTTCAACCGCACATCTCCATTGAGTTCCGTTCTCCGCCAACGTTTTCATCTAGCTCCATATCAGCTCACATGCTTTCATCACTTCTTCGCATGACCTCCCCCATGTCACCCTCACACTGACGATCAACTAACTCACCGCTTCCTATTCGGTTGGGTTCCACTCGAGCGATGGCCTGACGTCTGATGTCACTCAGTTGATGGTGTTTTCTCAGAGTATGGCCACAATCCAATCCACCTCCATTTCTTCCTGCATATTTGTTGCACAATTGGTTCCTGGTGGGTTGGTTCGTTCATTGCCATCTGATCTTGAGTATTATTGAGCACAGACAGCTGAGATGATGAAGGTCTGTAGTTTGTTCGAAGCGTCCTTCGTGAGGCAGCGCGGCGCAGCGCCAAGCCTCTGGTCCGTATAGTAACTAGGGCTGCCTTCATATTGAAGTTGAAAATCGGGATCTTATATTTTGTGATGAGTAGTGCTATTGATCTCCACATAGACTTGAGAGTAATGAAAGCTTGTCTTGCTTTCCTGATCCTCGCACTTTGATATCCTCATCAGTTCCGCCCGCCTGTATTTGAAACAATGCTTCCCAGGTAGGAAGTTAGATAGGTGAAGGAGGTTGCTTCATTCAGATTTCTCCCATTTATGCTGATTGTTGTCTGTTGTTGTTGCTGTTGGTGTTGGCTAGGAATCTTCTTCGCCTCTGTTTTCTATACGTTCACCTGAAGGAAGTCCTAGCTTTGATGTTTCTTCTGCCTAAGAAAGTAGAAAAAGACTATTCTCAATCTGTAAGTAAGAAACCTTTATTCATACGAGTTGTCCAGTACGTCCATACTTCTAGTGGTTCTCTAACTCGACGCCAGCTCATGATGATGTCCTGAAGAGAATATTCTTTGTTGAGTAATCAATCTTTTGAAATAATCAGAAGGTTTAAAAGTAGAATTTTCGGCAGCTAAACTCATTTTCATAGAGAAAACGAGATTAATGTTGTCCTGCAAACCCTGACAGTATCCGAACGATAGTGTCGCACCTCCACTGTCTCTACCAATTTACATGTATATGCAGTCACACACACCCATAGGGAGAACCCTTCTTTCTCTTTGCAGGAAGATGCCATTAAATCCTAGAAAATAGATGTCTAACGCCGGGCCAGAGCTCAAGTGAAACCCGAATAGGAAACGATAAGTGGGGCATCGGTTCGAGAGTGACACGGAGGAGATCGTACGAGTAGAAGATGACAGTGAGGTCAGTTAAAGACGACCACAGAGAATAGAACAAAATGGAGACGTGCTGTTGAAGCCCTATGTTCACCTCGGAATTCAAGGGAATAATAATAATAATAATCAAAGTTAGATTTGTTGAAGTCAGTTATAAAATGGCTTAAACCTGGTTTCAAATTCATAATTTGCGAATCGCTAATCAATTCGCAATCTACAGAGTTCGAGCAGTAAAAGAATTTAGATCACAATCTGTGTGATGTGCTGTGTGATGTGGTTATCAAGAAACCAAGAATATTTGCATAAAACGATATACTAATAATTGATTGATTGAGATGAGTAGATGGTGTAATTTCTCCACTCAAACTGTGTAGATGGCGAGTTCCTAACCACATTGCAAATTATGCATTTGATTTATCTGCTGACCATTTTAATTCAAGTAGACAGTCAAAACTAAGATGGTTTGAACTGAGTCACACCGCGTGCGCCACTGATGAGGAGCTCGACGCCAAACGAGCAAAACGGCCATCCGGTGTTTAGATCACCTCGATTGGGGCTGGCTAGTTGATTGGCTGGTAAGCACTGCAGGCTGGCTAGCAGCACTACTACTAATTAACATATACGGTTTCTAAACTACTTATATCAATCAGACAGTAGTATAAAACATCATGCAGATTATATATTGTAAACCGAATATATTTTAATTTTTTCAAAGGGAAATCTACTTCACTTACTTGATCAGATCCTTCTAATCCATACAGACACATTCTATTCCATACACCGATTGACTGAGCTATAATCCGTTTAATTGTATCCATTGCGTTCGTGTCAGACGAAGTGGATGCCGACGATTGATGTGCATCATCACTAGGGTTGACAACATTTTCAGAAGAAGAAGAACAACAACAACAAGAAGCAGAAGGATTGGCATGATCAGCATCCTCTGTAGTACTCGTGGTATTATAGTAGGCATAGACAGCTGATAAATAGGCTGGCAGCAACATGAACCAAATGGAATAGGCAGTTGCAGCTAAATACTTTGGCATTGAAAAATCATCAGTTTGTGAGATATCCATACCTGGAAGAAAGGAAGTATATAACAGATAGATAGATATATACTAGGCAGGGAGCACTGACACAACAGTGCCAATGGTAGGAAACAGCAAAATTATTGAACGCCGTATTTGTGGCACACGCTACTAACACGATTTATCAGTAGTATAATAGGGAGTGTCCATCATCAGTACAAAAAATATCGAACAGCAGAGAGATAGATTTGACATCAAAGACAGCAAATCAACTAGTATTGAGACAAAAACATGTGAGACAGGAAAAGATGACAAAGAAACACAATACGAAGGAAGGGCAGAAGTACCACGACACGGAAGATCTGTGCACATGACGATTTTAATATATGTGGTAGGCATAATTTCCGCATATGTGTGTATACCAAGTCTCTTGTCTTCTTCCGCTGCCTCTAGACAATAAAGATCGTATGACGTACTGCTTCCGAAGGAGGAGCTTCTTGAGGAACTTTGACGCTGTCACTAAATTGGTGGGCGTCAAGGATCCGACAGCCAAGGCAGTGGTGCTAGGAACGCTGCTATGAGGTAGGCCAAAGGCCATGTACGACAGTTTGAAGCAGTCAGATGATAAAAAAAACAAGAATGTATTGGTTGGACGAATGGTGGCAGAGTACAACAGGCAGATAACAATGTAGCCGTGAAGCTAGGACCTAACGGAGACCTGTTAATGCTGGTAGTGAATCTACTTCGTCGCACACTCCCCACATTAGATGAAGAGTCAGAGTCGCAGTTATTGACTTCCCTCAACATCGAGAGAGTTCCATATCATATTTCTCAGCAATCACTATTGCTTAACGTTGCACATCCTATGGACATTGGTGAGCTAGCAAAGGTGACCAGACAACTGTTGAGCACAACGGTAGCCGTCATAGAGCCATCCAAAACGAACCGGTGGGAACTAGAAATCGCAGATTTGAAGCAGGAAATAGTGGTGCTAAGAATGAGCATCAGAAGTGACGAGCACTCTGAATGTGGCAAAACAGGACACTGGAGTAAATACTGTCAGGAATGACAGAAAAAGAAAAACCTTAAACAATATATTTTGTCTTCTCTCTCTGTGACAAGACTAGAAGTAATAGAGGCGATCCAGATGGGGGACAATGTATTCTAGGTTTTTTTTTCTTTTTTGGATTACAGCTTGATGCCACACCGTATTTTCAGTACAAGTATGGAATTTTCAGCATGGATATCGGTAGCCCAAATTTACAGGCCGACCATAGATATCGGGTGTGCATCGGCAGGGGATCGAACCCCGGACCATGTGCATGGTCGGCGAGAGTACTAACCACTGTGCCACCGACGCACTTTTAATATATACAGGGGTGGCAATCTCACTTATAGACGCGAATCTATGTCATAATGTCAGACTGTGTTCAGTGACAGCTCAGATTATAAGGGGTCATGTGTTAAAAGCTTCCCGTTAAATATTTACCATTTCCCCACAAGATGGTTTTCTACGTAAATACTCCTATATATATATATATATATATATATATATATATATATATATATATATATATAGACTGTTACGTGTATAACTGGCCTATATATGTGTGTTAATCTCTACGAGATGCAGGTTTCATTGTAGTGAATTGAATTTTAAGTATAGAATTTTGCACTGAACTGTAGCAGTTCAAGCTGTCACATTTCACAAAAGGGCTAATAACTCTGGCGGGAATAAAACGAGGGCGAGAGAGAGAAAAGGTAGGCAAAGAGGCTTTTGAATTGAAGACACAAGTAAGGCAAGACTGCCTATCATCATCATCGATCGCCTATAACCGATCACTATCAATGGAATACATTTGTAAGAAGTCGCTTCTTGCGCTTATCTAGGAAACATCTCATTTCAACTACAGGTGATAACGGTGAGGATGTCATCGGAGTCAGTCAGGAACAGGTGAGGATGAAACACCTTCACACCACACTGATATCAGTGTGGAAATCTACAACAGTCAGCACAATGAACAATATTTCAATCACCAGCACTAATGTCAAATCAGCGGTTCTGTATTACTCTGAAACGTGGTGTGCATATCATAAAAAACATTTCCAATAGGCGGCTACTGCAAACTTTTATCAACAGCTGCCGGCTTCGCTCGATATTGAAGGTCGGTCAGAAAGGATGAGCAAAGAGAAACTTTAGTAAGAAGTAAACTAACCGAGAAACTATTGTCTAACAAACATCACACAGAAGGAAATGAAGAGGGAACGGTCATATCCTAAAAACACATGAGGAGGAGATCATCTGAGAAGAAAATGAAAGTCTGTGGGTGATGCCAGAGTCAGTTGAAAAGGAGAGAGAAAAAACAGAATACAGTGGAGATGTGCCGACTAGCTGATTCAGTTTCAATACAGAACTTTGCACAGAAGTGTAGCAGTTAGAGATGCCACACTCCATGTACTACACAAAGGCAGAAAAGAGAGGATTCAAATGACTATAATAAGCAGAAGATTATGGGGGAGAAAGAATAGTTACACGGAGAAATAATTAGAGTGAATGCATCTGCGCCATCACTGATTACGATTTTAAGCCATATTACCAATAGTCGGCAGTCATTGATTCTTAGAATTCCTAAGAACTCAAACCAGGCAGTCTAAACCTCACTATGCGACTGGCTTAAACTAACTGTAAAAGATTTCATGAACTGATGAAGCCAAGTTTTGGTCTGACCATTACTAGCTCTTTTCCAAACAACCTGATCTTTTATGGCAACTAACATTTCCCGTAGAGGAAAGCGATGGCTAAGAATGTGTAACACATGTATCCTAGATATCCCAATCGATGCAGCTGCTTCACAACATCATTCATTGATTATTTTATCCTCCTAACACACTCGATGCCTAATCGGAATTTTGCAAAGTTATACTACCACCTAATATGAGCGATAGAATGCAGACACCTACGTGATCAAATACAGCTAGCTAGCCTGTATTTTCATGTCTTTCCGTTTCAATGCTCATGTATTGCTCGCAGCCACGAAGGAAGACGGGGCGACCTGTTGAGAAGTACACATATCCTGTGTTTGATAGCCAGACGGATGACTGACTGGTTTCAACATAGAACTTTGCACAGATGTGCAGCAATTCGAGTCGCCACACTCCCTCCATGTAGCACACAAAGCAAGAGAAGAAAGTAAAAAGGAATGCAAAATAGAGACAGTGAACAGAGATATGAGACAAAAAGAATAGTAATATCGAAGAACAATACAGTTTTTTGGATATTATAAGTCACAAGGAGTGGATGCATCTGTGGCAGCCACTACCGAGAACGATTTTTGAGCCACATCACCGATTGTCTCCAGCCTATATTGGTGTTTACCGTCCCGAGGACTCCAACCAGTCAGAAAGCCTACACCTTCCTCCGTAGCTCACTTAAACTAACTGTTGTGGATTTCATTCACTGACGGTGCAATATTTCACTTTGACCAGCACTGGCTCTTTTCCAACATGACTCTAAGTCAGCTAACGTTCCCCGTCGAGGAAGGCGATCGGTGGCTATGGGATTCATGGGTAACACATGTCCCAACCATCTCAATCGGTGTAACTTCACAGCCTCGTCGATTGTTTACCCCTTTCACCTACCTAGCACTCGACTGAGGCCTAACCTCAATATCGCTCACCCTATTACACCATTTCATACGAGAGATAGAAAGCAGGCATCTATGATCAAAGACAGCTAGCTAGCCTGGCTTACCATGCCTTCCACTTTCAATGGCCATGTCTCGCTCACAGCCAGCCATAAAGGAGGACGGAGCGAACTGTTGAGCAATACACACGTCCTTTGATCGATAGCCAGATGGATGTCACGTCTGCTAGGCCAAATATTATACAGGTTAAGAAATGCTAAACAAGCCTTTTGTATCCCGTACCGATGGAGATGTTCTTCTGAGGCACTCTGTTCCACTCGGAGCTCAAAGGATGAATATAAATAATAGTAATAATAAAAGAAGTGCAATCAATCGATTACCGACTGCTATGAAGTTTATTAGCTATCTATTGACCTTTCTGAATTTTCCTTGGTTGACAATGTTTTGTCTGTCTGTTAACTAGTTCACTTTGAAGTATATCTGGATCACATTTTCTTGTAAATTTTTTTTAAATCCATACTTTATATATATATATACATATATAATCGACAATACATCTATCATCATGCTTTGTTAAATTCTATATATCTACCATTTGCACAGCAACAGAAATCTATGGATTGACACTCCAGAGGTGTTTTCAAAGGATGCTGGTGATGACAAACTACTATCTGAGGTTAACTGCAGCATTAGGTAATGTCTTAGTATGAGGCATAGACTTAGAATATGCGGACGATATAGTCCTTCTAGGCGAGGACGCTGACAAAATGCAGAGTCTTCTGAACGCCTTGAGCAACAATCTTCGTATGTTTGGCATGCGATTCGCCCCTGTAAAATGTAAGATGATGCTGCAGGATTGGAATTCACCGACCCCTAGATTAGAAATAGGAAGTGAAGTGGTAGAGTACGTTGACCGATTCACTTACTTGGGAAGTATCATCAGCCCCAATGGGTTGATCTCTGACGAAATCTCAGCACGAATACAGAGGGCTAGGTTCGCATATGCAAGTTTACGCCGTCTCTGGCATAGACGCAATATCCGACTATCGACCAAAGGGCGTGTGTACTGCTCAACAATCCGCTCCGTCCTCCTTTATGGCTGTGAGCGAGACATGGCCATTGAGAGTGGAAGATATGAAAAGATTAGCTATCTTCAATCATAGGTGTCTGCGTTCTATCTCCAGCGTGAAGTGGTATGATAAGGTGAGCAATGTTGAGGTGAGGCATCGGTCGAGTGCTAGGTAAGGAGGGGAAATCAGTCGACGAGACTGTGAAATTACATCGACTGAGATGGTTAGGGCATGTGTAACGTATGCCTAGTCATCGCCTTCCTCGACGGGCAATGTTAGCTGATATAGGGTGAGGCTGGAAAAGAGCTAGCGGCGGTCAAACCAAAACATGGCGAC